TAACATAGATTTTTAAATTATCTGTTGCTTAAAAATTGGCTTAATTAGAAGAGAACGTAATGGAGATCATAGATATTTTTAGATATTCTTATTTTAACTTATGGATTCATTTTATTGTGCTAAATTTTACTTCAAAATTTGATTCTTATTAATACAGTATATCTTTTATACTTTTCCATGGATCAGGCCATTTTGGACCCTAACAATTTGTAAACGGAATAGAAAAGCAGAAGGAATCAGACGTTTTGCCTGTAGTAACTAGAAAAGGGATGAAAGAAGTTGTAGGGGGAAGTCATGAACCAATGTTCAAAGAGGTTTTATATAATAATATTTATTACATATACATCTTATAACAAAATGTTCCAAAGTAAGAATGAAGTAAGAAAGCTAAAGTGATAAGAACAATAGAAGATATGGGAATTGTATTGCAAAAAAAGAAGTAGAGGATTTGGAGATAAAATTTTGATTCTGTTTCTTGGTTAACTTATAAGTCATTGTGCTGAGGGGATAATTAAAGCAGGGTACCACAATTATAAAGAGTCAATGGTATATTTTTACTAGAAAACCATTGAACTTTGACCAAAACCAGATAATATGAGTAATATGAAGAATTCAACTGTGTGTCATTTAAAATCTATAGGTGGGGCTGGAGAGATGGCTCAGTGGTTAAGAGTGGCTGTTCTTGCAGAAGACCCAGGTCCGAATCCCAGCACCCACATAACAGCCAACAACTGTCTGTAACTCCAGTTCCAGAGGCTCCAACTCCCTCTTCTGACTTCTATGGGCATTGCATGAATACAGGTGCACTTACATATATGCAGGCAATACGCTCACACACATAAAATAATAAATATCAAAAAAATAAAATCTATAGATGGATAGGATCAACATAAAAAGAGTATAAGATTCCATCTGGTTCAAAGACACTTAAGAATATAAAGGATCAATTGAATGGCCTGTTCTTGTTTTTAGGATAGCTCTTGAAGACATATTGCCAAAGCAATGAAGGTGTAAGTTACAACTTCAGTGATAGGTTTGTGTATGTATGTCATATTAAAGAAAGACAGAACTTAAACCCAGGGATATAAATTACATGTCAAGTCCTCCTCCCTTTTTTAAGTTTGGTGTTTTGAACCTCTGACTAAATGACAACAAATAGAGATTCATTTTCATATTATAAGTCTGGAGATCCAGAAATCTGGCTAAAGAAATTTGTTAAGAAACCACCTCAGACAAATGAGAAAACAATTATCTCTCTAAAAATTGTCTTTAGTTTAGAAAGATAGAGAATTAAGTATTTAATAATAAGACAAATAAAATCTTTGGTATCAATGATTTGGGGCTAAGAAATAGCTATGAACATGTATTTATCTTTTAACACTGCTTAAGAGAATTTCACTTTTGTTGCTCTAATTTAACATAGGTAAATGGATAACTGATTTAACATTTGTGATTTTTAAATCAGCCTTACTAAGTTTATAAACAGTATCAGAACATGTTTTTAAAAAGTTTAAAACATCTACTTGCTCAATAATCAGGTTTATATAAAATTATCTCAGAATGCAGGAAGATTTCTTTTAATAGACTATTGAGGTATATAGTGTATCAAACTCAAAAGTAGTTAAAAGTTAAAGGAAATAGTGCTTGCTTAGCATGCCCGAGGCCCTGGGTTTGATCCCTAGCACTACAAGACAAAACAAAAGCTGAACAACACAACCAATCGTAAAAGAAGTTCAAGGGGAAAAAATAAATTGTAAAGTCAAATTAAAGGGAAATTTTACATTTTTCTAAGCTTATAAAATAATATCTAAAGGCAGATAATAGCCAATTATAGACACAGAAATAATAAACTATGAATCTAATAAATTTTGCCATAAGCTTTTGAAGATTAAAGCACTAAAAATAAACCAGGGACTCTTTTTGAGTAACAACTTCTAAGAATCTTCTACAAACATTATATTGATAATTTAGAGTCAAAAGTATTTAAAAGTAATGATCCTTAATAGATATCTATAGAAATAAGATTAAGTTGGAGCTCACAGTATATGAGATTCTACTTTCCAAAGTAAGATAACTGGATCAAACACGAATAGGATATTCTGCCTTGGATTTTCTAATTTAAACTCGCAACTGCATTGCTCTTAGGATTACAAGAATAAAGAAGGACACATCTTTTATTAGGTTGTGGAAAAGTCTAAATTTGAGAGGCTAATTAGGAAAGTTAATATAATAAGAATCAGTTTTGTCACCTTTAGTATGAATCATGGTACATACTTAAAAACTAAAAGCTAACTTTAAATGCCTATGCATTTATAAACATGTATACACATATAAATACATTAAAACAAATTTTGAGTCTAACAAGTTTTAATAGCATTGACACTTCAACTTTTACACATACACTATGTGACTCAAGTCAAATGCAAATGAAATATCAATCTTCTATTTATTCCAGATCATATTCCAAAAAGTAGTAAATTATACACTTACAGAGGCCCTAGCTGTTTCTGAATCAGTAATTGGCATCCTTGCAATTATTTCCCTTCCCTTTCCACCCTACACCTCACAACATAGGCCTAAAATTAGACCCTAAAAACATATGCCCAGATTTCACTTTCTAGTCAAAAATATAAGCTCACAAAAATCATAGATGACTATAACTCTATAAGTTACTTTATATTCCAAATAGTATCTTTTAGATTTCTGAGTAATTGTTTAAACTGGAGTTTTAACTGTCTCCACCCACTTCCCACTACATCACACCCTCCGTTTCCCCACCCCCAGATGAGGTTAGGTTGATAAATGGATTTTGGAGATGGAATAAAGCCAGACATCAAATAACTTACTTGAAATCCATCTCTTACCTTCTGTACTTAACCCTGGACTTGATGTGAACTTGGCTACATCAACAATTTTTACAGCAAATTGCTGCCCAGTTTCTCTGTTGATACATCGTCGTACAACACTGAAGGGACCCCTAAAAAACAAAAAGTCAATTTTAAGTCATTGATTTTAAAGTTCCTCTTTCTGATCAACATCTTACTGTGTTCTGTTATTTACCATAGCCAAACTACATTACCACCAAGCCATCTTATTTTAGTCTCCTGATAGAATATAATTCACAATAAAATTTCAGCAATGTAATTTTAACATTTATGTCTAATTCATAAAGCAATTCATCATTTTAAAATATTGTTAACCAGAAAAATGGAAGCCAAATAATTAAATTTTCAACTCAGGATAATTTTTTGAAATTATGAAGAGTATTCTGTATTCAAGGCAAGTAATCATTGTAGTAGCCCATATAATTATCAACATCTTAAACACAGGGAAGGCCATAAAAATGGCAGCACCTAGACAGGTACTAGTTAGAACCAGAAACATAAGTCATTGTTAGCATCTCCCTCTTGTTCCGCCCACAGACCTAGTCTTTACTAACAAATCCTGCTGAGAGTATCTCAAATACCTCGTCACCACTTCTCTCCATGTCTTGTACTCTTGTTAACACTACCATCTTTTGCTGTAACTACTGAAAACTCTTCTTATTCATTCATGTTTTAAAAATGAAAATATGATTTTATGTCCTGCTTAAAATTCCAGAGAAAGTGCTTTCAATACACACGCCTAATTAAGAAACAAATTATAAAAGCAAGTCCTAAAAAAAAAAAAAAAAACGGAAAATACACTTCAATAAAATTTGGACAAAAGACTTGAGCAGGCAGTTCACAAAGAAGCAGCCCTGCATAATCTGGTTTCCCACCTCTCTAGTCTCACTGGAAACCAAAAGAAATCACCATCCTCCTCAAACTTTAAATCATAATTGTTTTAAAATGCTAGAAAGGAACTTCCTAACAGTAAAACCACTGCCCTGGTCTAGCCATTTGTTTACCTACTCCTTTCCTCTGCCACTTACATTAGTGACTCAATAGTTGGATTAGCTAGATTTTTAAAATGCCAATACCTGGGCTTAAGATGAAGATGGACACACACACACACACACACACACACACACACACACAGTTTCTTGAGATTAGGTTACCAAATAAATATCTGCATTCAAGACAGCCCCAAGACAGATTTGTGTGCAATAACATTTGAACTACGATAAAAACCATTACATGCACAAACATACATGCACATGTGTATATTTTTCTTCTCCCGATGGGGGGAGAAGAGACAAAATATCTCTTTCATTGGCATTTTAAAAACATTTTATTTATTATTTTTATTATTTCATGTGTATGAGTGCATTGCCTGCATGTATTTAAGTGTACCCAGGTTGTACAATACCCAAGGGGTTGAGAAGAGTGTGTTGGATCCCCTGAAACTGGAGTTAGGTATGGTTGTTAGCTGCCATGTGGGTTCTGGGAACCAAACCTAGGTCCTCTGTAAGAACAGCCAGTGCTCTTAACCTCTGAGCCCTCTCTCCATCCCCTCAACGGCTTTTATAGGTACAAATGGCACACTTCTATGTGTGCTCAGCCTGCATACAAGAAAAAAAAATGATTATTTACATAGGGCACTTTTTTACTTGCGATACTGTTTGTCTCAAAGTTTGTCTTTCTTTTTTTGATTAAAGAACAAGCAAATGAATTTAATCTAACCTAGAGATAAACATTTCTTTAAAATAACATGAATGCCATCAGGACCATGAGGACATCAATTACACCCAGTTTCAAATTGCTCTACAAACAACAAAGCTAATCTGGAAGGGAAAGAAGGGTTAATAATGTACTTTTCAGAACTCTACAGAAAGACCTTTTCTGCAATCACTCAAAACCATTAAAAGATTTTCCTCTGTGACAACAGTAGGAAGTGAGGCAGGATTCCCAAAAATGTTTCCATTCTTAACCTGGATGTTTTAGATTTGATTATTTGGCCTGAAAATACCAAGCAATTTCAGGAAATGCTTAACATAATTGGTTTTTTTCCATACATGAACACTCAGGACTCGATTTATATGAATTTGTATAGTGTGATTCAACTCACTGAATCATTTTGGAAACTTTCTGAGTTCTGTTTGTAGGACTGTGTGTGATAAATTCAGTCATTTTCTTTTTACTCTTTTCTGACTGAACAAAGATAAGGAAGAAATTATAAGCCACCTTTTACAAAGAGTAAAATTAAGATAGCTGGGGAGTTTCCTTGTATTCATCTACTGTCTTACAATCTTTCTGCTCCCTCCTCCACAATGATCCCTGAGCTTTCCAAGGAGAAGGTGCAATATAAGTATCCTATTTAGAACTGAGCACTCCATTGTGTCTTATTTTCTTCATGTTGACTATTTGTGGGTCTCTGTGTTAATCACTATCTGCTGCGAGAAGTACCTTCTCTGGTTGAGAGCTGAGGAATGTACTAATCTATGAATATAATAAGTCATTGTGAATCAGTTTAATATTATATCTATTTAGCAGAGTGATAGTAGCGTATTACTACTATCACTCACAGGCTCTCACCTATGGCCTGTGATTCGTCTAGCCACAGGTTCTTGCCCTGATAACAGTATCAAGTAGAGTCTCTGGTGTCAAGCAGGCCTTAAATCCAATAAGGTGATTGGTTACTCCCATAATATTTGAGCCACTATTGCATCACTCAACATATTTTTCCAAGCTAGTTGCCACTGTAGCTTGCAGGGTTTATGGCTGGGTAAGGTTGATTATTACCCTTCTCTGTCAGGAACATGCATGCACCTTCTAGTACTATGAAAGCTAGTCAAAAGAGATGTAGCTTCAACATCAGTACTAGAGTGATCTCTCTTTGTCTGTTCTACAGCTCATGTATGTAGTGTGTTTAGCAATAGGGTTTTACCACCCAGTTCTGGTGGGCAACTGGGTGTAGTGGCAATAGCCAGCATTATTTGAGGATCTATGGGATCTCTCTGGTTAACAATTCCAAGAGAGGGAGTCTATTCTTGTCATTGGGTTTTTCATTTGCTACTTTATTAAGGCCAACGAACCCTGTTGCAGATGAATACAAGGAAACTGCTGTCTGGACACCACAGGGTACTTGCACATATGAACCCATAGTGCTTAAGACAGTAAGGACAAGACTCATGAAAACTCAAGCCATACAGGGGCCCAGCATGGATGGGGAAGTAGATTCTAGCTGAGAATCTACTGGCAACAGATGAATGCTGGGAGCGGGAAAGTCAGTTTTCCTTACTGGTATGATGCCTGGTAGGTTGACCAGACTCCAGGACATGCACCCATTTCCAGGAGCATTTGGGAGGCACAGATTAGAATTGATAGGCCTTTACAAAATAAAAATTAAATAAACAAAATAATAGGTAGTAATGGATGATATAAAGTCTGGGGAGAGGGTTGTGGGGAGGGGGGGTGGAGATAGGGGAAGGGTCTGAATGTGATCAAAATGCACTGTATGAAATTCTGGAATCAATGCGCTGATCTCCTTGAAGGGAGAGATTCTAGATAGGCTGACTAAACCCTGGTGGACGAACTTGCACTGAGGGACATCTCAGGACATTAACTTTACATAATATGCCTTAATACAAATGACAGAATGTATGAACTCCCTGGGGGAGGGGCTATAGGAGGGTGCCGAAAGGGAAGGGGGTTTAAAGATGATTTTGTGTATGAAATACACAAAAATTCAATAAAAAATATTAAAAATTTATTAAAAAATTTAATAAGCTAGCTAGGGAGAAAGGAGAGAAAAGGGGACTGATGAGACAATAAAACATAAACTTAAAAAAATCTATAAATAAAAATCACCTAAAGCCAATTCGTTAAGCTAATTTTATGAAGTAAAGAAACGGAATATATCTACGGACTCAAGACCTGAGGACAGGCCATAAGCAAAGCATATTAAAGGACTTTCCCTCAATGGCATCCAGAAGGCTAACAAAGGTATGCTGAGCCAAATTTAATATTCTAAAAAAAGCATCAAAATATACTTTGAGGTGGGGCATGATGACACATGCCTTTAATCACTTAGGAAGCAAAGACAAGTGGATCTTTATGAGTTTGAGGCTAATCTGGTCTATATAGTGACTTTCAGGCCAGTCACAAAACAAAAACAATAACAAATCTCAAAGTATGTTTTCTCTCTCTGTCTTTCTCTCTCTCTCCTCAATCCCTCTGTCCAATCCCTCCCTCTGAAGGTTTTTTGATTTAATGCACAACTTGAAACTCAAGAGAAATGAATAAAATTTATAATTTGGATGGGTCTCTTATGAAAATAGGAGGGGCAATAAAGAGCATTAAGATATATGCCAAACTATATTGGCTGACAATTTGGGGAAACAGCAAAAAATCTGGAGACCTAGATTTCAATTTGGTTTGTACCTTTTCTTGACACCTGAAAATTTTGCCCTGAAATTTCAAATGTATGGTATAGTCAATTCTTGAATATTGATGTGGAGAAAAGTAAGTCACTCTATCCATTAGGATATTCATCAAAATGGAATGATAACCGATGACATTTCAGATTTGGTTAAATATTGCTGGAGGAGGGAGATTTATTCTTTTCTGAGGATGTGGCCACAGGTAGGTTTGTCCATACTCCAGTACATAATCCCACACCCATGCACAGGCAGCATTAACTGGATTTAGTGAATCATTGGAAAAAAAAGACATCCAAGCTGCGAGGGAGGCATATTGGCAGGAATATAGGGAAGTTTGAAAGAAAAAAAATCAGTAGATATGCTATTTCATTGTATAATATATGAAATTCTCAAAAATAAAGAAAAATTTAATAAAACTATATATACATATTTCAGTCAACTCCTTACAAATACCAAATATTGACTGGAATGATAACACAAAGTTTTACTTGAGGCAGATGGCTTCTTATACAAGTCTAAGGCTTTAAAAAGTTTTTTATTAATTTAATTTGCTATTTGACAATTTCACACATGTACCTAACACATACTCACACCCCCACTCTCACCCCCTACTCTCCCGTTTCATTACTACTGTTATCTGTACTCCCCCTCTTCCCTACAGATCACTTTCTCAC